TTTTTTTTTTTTTTTTGGCTATGAAATCTCACAAAATCATAAAATATCTTACAAATAAGTTAAATATCTCTGATTTGTTAAGGCTTTTCAAAATATCAAATGTGTACCTCCAAATCTTTAAAAGTCTTAAAATATCCAAGTTAAATGCACCAGGATTTTTATAGTCTCATCAGATCATTAAATTAAGAACTTTTAAGAATCCCAAATTTAGGTAGGTCCATCATCAACTTCCAGAGATGATGTCTTGAATGTGTACATAAAACAACTGTATGACCTCATCCCTCATCCAGAGGAGCTTATGAAACATCGCTTCTCTAGTTGGAACAAGCAAGAACATATGTCGTTGTAGGTAGTTTTTGGTAAAGAAGCACATGACAACACAAGTTGTGCAAGTAAAGGCAATCACGGTGGGAGAGGAGTAGGTGCAAGTGCATCAACCACTGTAGGGGGAGGAGCAAGTTCCAATGTGTGGGAACACTCAGGGAGGTGTGAAATCTTTCTTAAGAAGTAGTTGCCGTAGCAACTCCTTGATTCGGTCTTGTTGTGCCTAAGTACCATCCAAAATGACTGATAACAACATCCTTTTCTAGAAACGTTACACCCTTCTCTATCGTCTTCTCCATCGAACTTATATCCAACAAGTTGGGAAATTGATAGAGTGAAGGGTTTATGAAAGAAGAAATTTGAAATATATATTTAATTAAATGAAAAGGAATTATTTTTTTACATGTGAAACATGTCCCAAGCACATGTGCCGAATCAGGAAGAAACTTCGCACCTAAACCTAAGGCCGAGGCCGACCATTCAATTCAACAAAAGTTTAACCTTGGTATCAACAGATAGTCTACATAAATAGTAATAATCCTATGTCTAAAGCTAATGAAAATTCTAAGCCAATGGGTCCAATAGTTCAATTATTGAAATAAATGAAACAGAGAATCAATCCCTATCAATGGATAGAGTTTTAAGAAAGAATAGAACTGGAATACATTTAACTTAGTTAATAAGTGACAACTTTAGTAGGCACCTGTACTCAAGCACAAGCGCCAAATCGGGAAGAAACTTCAGCCAAAGCCTAAGGCTACCATCTCGACTCAACAAAAGATAAGCCTAGGCATCCATTGATAGTTTGTTTAAATGGAATCATAATTCTTATAACTTAAATGTAATGCTAATGAATATTTTAGGAGGTCATTGGATATAAGTTATTTCGGTTTTGATTGCATTTGTTGGTTATCCAGAGTTAATTTTGGAAAAGTTGATTGGTTAGGATTGAGTGAGATTTTGATTTTGTATTAAAATCCTCCCTATATATAATTCCCGAATGCGCTGAGCCTACGTGGCTGCTTTTAGTGCTTCGGAATCCTACTTGGCGAAGAATCATGCTTCGTAATTAGGTTTGGACAAATAATATTGATATATTAATAATTAATAATCTAGGTTTGGACATTCCATAAATATTATTTAGCTAACTTAGGTATTTTAATATCATTGTACTAATATAACCCTTTAATTCCTTGTAATTTTACATAACGAGACACTAAGTGACTAATATATCCCTGACTTTTGATTTGTTTCCTTCAATTAGCTATTGAATTGTAAATATATTTTAAAGTTGATAACTTTTGTATTTCTTATCGGTTTTACATATATAATATATCAAATTAATCATCTTTTGATGATCTTCGATTTGACATCCATATTGTATATATTGAAATAAATAAATTATATTTATATTTATAATAATAAAAAATAATTATATTTATTAAAATTCATTAGAAAAATAAAATGTATAATTATGTTTAATGTAGTTATATGTTGTAAGTTAAAAAAAATTATTATAATATAACACAGGTAAGTCGCACAAATAAAAAGTGTCATACTAAATATATAATAATATATATTTTTATAAAAGGTATTTAAATTTTTAACTATTTTTCTCATTAATTTTAGATTTTAAGAAAAAAAAATTAACAAGCGCCCGTGTAATACACGGGAGTTGTACTAGTTATTTTTAAAATATAATGATTGAAGTTAATTTGATGTAAAAGTAGGAGAGAGGTGGTTGAAAGTGATAGATAGGTAAAGTTAAGAATTAATGTTGATGTGATGTGTGAGGATGATTGGTTGATATTATTTAATTATAGAGGAGGGTTGGATTAAGTTAAATTTGAGTTAGATTTTGTATGTTATAAACAATCAGGGCCTTAGAAATTGGGTCCAAAAGGTTAATAATTGAATGAATTAACTTGAGAACTGGTCACTAACAATGTCATATGATGCTTTTGGTGTTTATTCAACCTAACCTAAACTAAACTAATAAATCACTCGTAAGAGTACGAGGTCAATCATTCGTAGAGCAGTGAATTGACCCAACCTTAGTCATATTTACGTTGAAGACTTAGTACGAAAACACACAAAGGAAATAAAATCATAATACTAGAAACTATTTTAATGGAAAATAATTAAATACAAAATCATCTAGCAGAAGCAGAAATCATAAATGGAAACCTAGGGTTTCTGCTTATTCATCTAGAAAACCGTCCAGAGTCAGTGCGACGCTACAGGTCACGTAAGACATATACATGCTTCTTACATCTTTGAACATTATAAATCTGACCAGTAACACGAACAATAATATAGCACAAACACAAGACTCTTAAAACCATAATAAAAAACATGAAAATGAATGAGTTTAGCTCAAATCTTCCTCTATCTGTCAGGTATATATTTTTGTTGCTACGGTATTATTTCTTTCTACTTCCTCTGGATGTCAATATAGACTTTGTTGCTATAGTATTATTAACTATGAAAAGCATGTAGTCCTATTTCTATGAAGGTGTTCATGTCAAGAAATATCTGAAGTATTAACAACTTCAATTTAAATTATATATGTGTAATATTTCTTTCAGTAATTATTATTGCTTGTCGGCAGAAGAAACCTCTGTACCCCTGGGAAGTTTGTGAAAAATTAGAGTTTTACTTTTATGTCTGAAAGATATTTTGTATGTCACAGCGTCATCATTGCATGTATCAACGAATCAGTATGAAAATTTGCATCATTAATTGCAATTTGTTCTTCTTTGTCGGGACATCTAGAAGTTAATTCTCATGTCATGTGAATTTATTTCTCACTTTATTGTTATGTTACGTGGCATCTTTAGTCGTAATGTGAGTGATCCCAAACTACGGAATTATGGCATATATATTTACTTATTTCCCTTCTATTAGGCAGCTTAGAAGGCCAAACTGGTGGCTCTGCTGTGGCCATTAAGGTAGAACCGAAGGTAGAGATAAAGGAAGAGCCAAAGGAAGACAGTGACGCTCGTTCAATATTTGTTGGTAATGTGAGTCTCTAATCCCTTTTTACCATTCAGGAATATTTCTTTTCTTTTTTCTTTTTTTTTTTTTTTCAGTTTCTGTATCTATGTGAACGAATGTACAATGGACTCTTAAATATGCTATGAAATCTTATAAGTGCTAATGAGATCGATTGAGTTTTTTATTTCCTGATGTTAGTGCAAGAAAGAAATGTTATCTGATTCATTTGAAGAAATTGGGGGCATTCCCGTTGTGGTACAATAAATGTATGGTTTTTTTTCCTTTCTAGTTTAAACTCTTCTTGAGCTAGTCATTTTCTATATCTACCCACAGGTTGACTATGCATGCACGGCTGAGGAGGTGCAACATCATTTTCAATCTTGTGGGACCATCAACAGGGTTACAGTTATGACAGACACATTTGGTCAGCCCAAAGGTTTTGCCTATGTGGAGTTTGTGGAGGTTGAGGCTGTTCAAAATGCTCTACTGCTGAATGAAACAGAATTACACAGTCGTCAGATTAAGGTTTGTATCTTGCATTGGTGGAGTGTGAACATGCAGTGTAAATCTTGCTTGTCCTTACCGGTGTTTGTGTTTGATTTGTGTTTGAAAACAGGTATGTGTTAAGAGGACTAATATTCCTGGCATGAATCAGTATCGTGGGATGCGTCCATTTTCGAATTATGGGTATGGGTGAGTACGTTACAACTTCTTATTCTCCTTTCTTTTCTTTCTTTTGTCATTGTTTTCTATCCTTTTCTTTTTCATGTGCTCTTATGTCGCATTTCCATTGTGGCAATGATAAGTGATCTATATAGCCTTGATGAATAATATACACTGTCGTGGTTTTTTCTAGACCATTTAGGCTATTTTGCATGTTTTGTGACCTATATCGCCTTGATGAATATTACTGTCATGGTTTTTGTAGCACATTTAGGCTATTTTGCATGTTTTGTGTGCATTCCACGACATCAGCATGTTGTATACCTACATAAAAATTACTCGTCGTTGCATTGCCCAACTATAGTATGTATTTGTTGGCAATAATTACCCTTTATTATTTTGCGTTAAGTACAAAATACCTGGTGTCTATATATATATATATATAATTACTGGCTCATAAGCATTTAATAAAACCTATTAAATTATACCTACGTGGCACTTTCCCGCCAAAAACCGTTACTTTTCAATTTTATTATTTTTGTTATTTTATTATAAAAACATATTTGATTTGTATTAATGTGTTGCTATGTTAATATTGGTCAAAACCTCATTTACTGTGTAGCCGTTATATTTCTCTTTTTCCTTATTATCTTTAGTACCTTTGAATTTCGAAAATAATTTTTTTTATTATAAAAAAATTGATCCACTCACAATATTTTATCTATTTATTCTCACTAATTTATGATACTTTGTTTTTTAGTAACTAAAGTTGTTTTTGATTTTAGTAAAATTTTTCGACAATATATACATTTAGTAAAATTTACCAATTCTAAGTGGCAACTAGATATTCATACTTCTTTAGCAGTTAGCTTTTGTAAAATCAACGACAAGGAGGTGTATTCGTTTGGAATTTCGAGTGACATTTAAAGGCTATTCGAGATTTGAAATTTTTAAATTAGAGGAATCTTGTGAAATTTTAAGTTTGGATGTGAGATTTGTAATGAGTTTTAGTATATGTTTATTTCTTTAGAAATTCCAACAAATCTTAGAAAGTTTTAACAAATCTTAATCTCAAATAATTAAATACATCGGGATGAATACCAAATGAATATCTCAAGACTTTTGTAAGTCTTGAGAACTTTAAATTAAATTATACCATAATTTTCAAAGTCTTAAAAATTCTTCAAATTTTTTTAAAAATCTCAATTAAATACACACTTAAATTTAAAATAGCTATTTTGTAAAATCCACAATAATTAATTAAATTAAATATTTCCCATATTATATACAACACAACAAGTAATTAAATTTAAATATTTCCATTGTATATACAAATCACAAACTCCTTTGCATCTCACTGTACTTGTAATAAAATCGTCCCATTAAATGACAAAAAGCAATTTCCGGAGAAAAATCGGCCACCGCCACATAACATAATCCCCCGAAATTTATATATATATATATACATGTATATATATATATATATATATATATATATATATATATATATATATATATATATATATAATTACTAGCTAATAGCATTTAAAAAAATCTATTTAATTTTACCTATGTGGCAATTTAACCCGTTTCCCTCCAAAAACCGTTACTTTTGATGTATTTAATCTTTCATTTAATTATTAAATAATCAACACTAATTACTTCAAAATTACAAAAATCATTTTAAACTTTTGATTATTGACAGTTGGTCATATAATGTGTTTACCGCTTAATGTGATTAGATGTTATAATTGTGGTTAAATTTAAATTATTATTATTTTTAACATAAAAAATGTATTTGAAATTCTTAAATAAATAATAAATAATTCACAAAAAAAAGACGTACCAAAATATTCATTACATCCAATCAGATAAACACAATTTTTTTTAAAAAAATAGATATTCCAACTCCTTTAATTGTAAATTTGGCCAGCAAAAAGGTGAAAGAAAAATAATTAATCATTATATGCATACAAATAAATCACAATACTTTATTTACATTTGTGCAAATGCACAGGTCGAATACTAGTTTAAAGTATGATAGTCGTTTCCCATGTGTTACAATTTTTTATAAGCTGCGTAAAGATTGATTCTATACCATCGGCAGAAATCTAGATGATCAGTCGAATGATAAAGTAATATTCTTGAAATTAGGTTGGACTTTAGCTGTACTTTATGTTTGACGTATTTATTTTCTTACCTCTCATGCGGAATCTGAATGCAAGTATTGTGCGTATAATTGACCCACCGTCATATGAAATAGTGGGATGATGCTTAATGTGAGATTAGTTGCAGTTCCATTTGTTTAAGAACTTTAGCCTTTTTAAGTAACTTGTACATATTTTTTATTTATTTATTTATTTATTTTTTATTTTTATTTATTTTTTTATTTTTTTTAAGCAGGAGATCGCTTCAACAAAGTAGAACAATACCATCTTTATTACTATCAGTTTGAAATCTAAATCAAAATTTCTTCATTTGCAGGAGCTTCCCGAGGTTTAAGCGTCCTGTGCACTACAAGCCATATTGATGAATGTTACCGAATTGTCAGCATGCAATTAAATTGATCAACTGCGTTTATGCATACATTTTCATGTTTCATAAATATTTCTTTTACTTTAAAGCCATGCCTAATGGACTGCATTTGTGTTTTATGATTGAAACTGCCTTGCGACTTTAATTTGGTTGGACCCTGGAGTAATTTTGTGCTTACATTTTCATACAGCAACCTGAAGTGAAAAAACAAATAAACCTTGGTTTGTTTATTGTTATCATGTTGTGGCCGAGTTGTTTTCAACCGTTCAGTTTCTTATTCTTTGCTACCTTTTAATTTCTTACATTTGTTTGCCCGCGACACATGCTCGGAACATGTTTTGAGACTGTATTTAGGGATGGTGATATATTTTCTCCTTAACCAAAAGTATGTACAAGTATCAAGAAAAAAAAAAAAAAAAAAAAAAAAAAAAAAAAATGGATGCTCTCTTGCTTTTAAAATAAAAATGGACGCTCTCTAGGTCGTTTATGAGTGTTAGGTAGGGTTTATGCAGTGTTTGGCGTGGTATGTGGACAAAAATTGTTGGTAGCTATTGTGATATATCATATCAGTTATATGAATCTGTTGCTTAGTTTAGCTATTAAGCAAGTTAGTTAGGAGGTTATACTCATGCATGTGGTATGCACGTGTTGTGCTGTGCATGTGTCTCGTGTTTGTATAAAAACATAACTCATAATGAAAATAATAAGAAATTATAATTTAATTATTCTCAACATGGTATCAAGAGTCAAATTCTCTATCCTTAGATTTTTTATTCTCTGTCATTTTTTTGTCTGCTTAATCACACCATCATGGTTGCATTGTCGGTGTATACTCCGTTGCCTCACCTCACTCTGCCTCTTTGGCTTGATCGATCCAATTCTACGTGCTGGAAAGCACAAACCTCTCTACTCTTCGTGCTCATGGATTTGAGGATTTCTTTTCAGCGATTCGCCTGCTCCGACGAAGTTTTTGTCTCTCGGTGATCATTCACCGGCTCCGGTTTTAAATCTGTCGTATACGCTTTAGATGCGTACCGATCAACTTCTTCTCAGCTGGATGCTAGCATCATTTATTGAATCGATGCTTGATCAGATCATACGATGCTATACTTCAGCTCAGGTTTGGTCGGTTCTGTAATAGCCCATCATGTTATTAATGTAAATTACGTGTTTAGTTCCGAAATATTTAGTTTATCGATCATTATTGTTCGGAACTAAGTATTCAAGTCAAGAGGATTCGAATTAACTTTCGAAGTCCCGTCCATGCTCGGAATAAGTTTAAGTATTTAAGTCCAAGTACTATATGTTAATTCTTGATCCCAATTACCCATTAGCATAGCAGAGTCATTCTTAAGCCATGAATAAAGCTAATTACCGAAAGCTTATGAATAATCATCATGTACTCTAACCTATCCATTTAGCATAAGTGGCAAAATTTTAGTAGCTTAAGTTATGACTAAGGCAAGTCATGAAATGCCACGTTAGTGCATGACTAAGCCAAGAAATGGCCACTTAAGCACCTATCTTCACGGCAAGTGGCAAAATTTCATAAGCCATGACTTTTCCATCTTCATTTCACCTTCTATTATTTATACAAATTTTCACCGTGGAGAATAGTCATGATATGTGGGAATTCTTAAGTTAAAAGTTAAGGAGAGTTTATACTATGTTAAGCTAATTCTATTCACACGCACGTCTGTGAGCTTCTACCACAAAGATACACGCACATATGCGTACTACCATACGACTACCGAACAATTGCAGGTCGTAGGATTTTTCTTCGATTGATTGAGGATGTAATCACGTCTTGACCTTCTTTTATTGTTCATGTACCTATTTTAGGAAAATTCTGTCCAATAATGTAAGGTTCAGTCCATTAGAAGCCAAGTTATTGCACAAGCATGTCATGTAATATCTAACCGAGCCATGTTCGTTTTCGTCCAGTATCTCTCGAGCAATTCATGTGTTTTAAGTCATGTTATGTCATGCTCTATCGTTTCAAGTGTTAAGCGCCCATGAGTAAAGTTGAATGACCGATGAGTCGATTGCGATTGTGGATAGCGCACGTAGCGCACGCCACCACCGGCTTTAAGGCCTATCGAGCCATTGTATGCCAAGTCCATGATCTCTCAAGTGATTTGCTTATTTCTAGTCATTACATGTTAAGTTATGGTCAGCCATTCTAATTCATGTTAAAAACGGTCGAAGGATGTGCTTGAAGTCGTGGACGGCGCACGGTGCGCACGCCACGGCCATTCACTTGATTAAGTTATAATTATGATCCTTCGAGCAAATTACGTGTATTTATTCATGTCTTGATGGGTTATGATGTTTTAAGTTAAAGTTGCTGGAAGAAATCGCCGGACGGCCGGCAAGGGCTGGTCGTGGTCACGCTGCCCGCACACAGCGGCCACAGCGTGCCGGCAGCCAGACCATGGCGGACAGGCATCGTGCGTGAATGCCCAGTGGGGTGTCGCGCGTAGCCCTGCCCGCAGCAGTCGGCAGTTGGCAGTGCCCAGCGCACGCCAGCATGCCCCAGCGCACGCCAGTGTGCCCAACTGCACGCCAGTCGGCCTAGGCAGTACCCAACAGCACGCTCGAGGGCCAGTACCGTCAGGGCCGCCCGGCAGCGCCCGTGCGGTACTTGTTCATGCCAGCCAGCGCTCATGCGCGCGTCCAGGTGCCCAGTCGC